AATACTTGGAAAAAATAAAGACAGCTTCTATTCTTAACAAAATATGAATATATTAATCCGGTTAGAATGAGGGAGGGGGATAAACCGAATCGGGCGCCATTCAGTTGTAAAGTTTACTTCAGCATGCGGTCTACAGTAGCAGATAGGGGTGCATGTTTCGGTGCTTTGCCAAAATCTCACATTTGACTCCCTATCCAACAAAATGGCTGACTCCGCAACAAGCGGCGTACATTGTTTTCCTGAGGGTAGAGCATTTTTACTATAGTGTGTGCGTGCTCGAACAGCTAAGTAAAGACGCGTAAACGATAGCCTGGGTGTTACACAAATGCATTACATTGTCTTGGAAGAGCAAAGACACGAGGACGGACCCAAGAATTCACGAGTAGGAGGGGCAGTGAGGCGCATGATAATGCAACGGAGTCACTCTTTAAGCGAAAGGTACTGACTTTCACGGAATAAAAATGAATTTCCCGGCTTCGTACATGCTCGACTCTCTATATTCGACGGTTATGGTCGGTTCAAAGCATAGAGACGGCGGCAACGATTCTCTGCTCGATTAAATATCGTGCGTCTTTGTTGCTGGTTAAAATGGCGCCTTGTCCTAGATCTTGCAACTAGAGCAGCGCAGCTTCAGGTTGCGTAGCGCTCACATAAGCGTCCAGTCTGTGTCAATAACAAGCAGAGCCACACGGCTGAAAATCTCTTTATCCTGCCAGTGGAGACGCACAGAAGCGCTCAGAATACGGTTATGACATTTTAATTACGAGCTCTATTACAGTGTATTTAGGTATGCGTACAGGGGCAATAACAGGGACCTCGATAACGTTGCACTGAATTGATCAGAGACGGTAGCTACACTTGTGGTAATTGATATATAGTAAGAAAAACACGGAAGACATTTAAGAAAGAGATTTGGTCTTTGCATTCTGGCAATGTCGTCGACATATAATGCCGTTTTAAATAGGTTTGGGCACCTTTAAGCAACTAGATATGCTGTGACACGATTCATTTCTATACCGCGAACGAACAACAAATGCGCTCGTTTTCCCATCCAAATCAAATAGGCGACTATTAGTAACGTGCTAGAAGCCCTCGAAAAGATCCCGCCTAAGTAATTACACAACTTTTCTTTGATTGAGAAACGTAAATGCTTTCGATTTAGACTCAAATCCCTCAATAAAAGCCTTTTGCTGGAGAGATGCCACGAAGTGTATCTGACCGATCGGGTTATCGCAAGCTATCTGTCAAATCGCCTGCACAGCAATTCACAAAAATGCGTCCCACAACAAGTTAGCGAGCTGGCCAACGACCACTGTTACTGGCGAGTATGAATGTTGAATTGAAAATGGATGTGCGAAAGTGTGAGAGAGGCATGAACTGACGGCGGGCGACTTTTGCAGCACTGAGGATGCAAAGGAAAAGGGCGCGTTCAGGGGCTACAAAGTTACAAATATGGCTTCTCACGCCGCTTCCCTTGTTTATACACTGAATGCATGGAGCTCTTGTAGTTTCCGAGCACAGCATCACCAAAAGGTCTCGCAAAAGTTGGGAAAATTAATCAGTAAAACTGCTGAACTTATGGGCTGTGTATAGGTACACTGCGATAACAATATCCAAGGCTCTAGGCTTGTAACAAAGTCGCCGCAAACTTTTCATTCAAGACATCAACTTGACGCGTGCACATCTAACGTTAGCGTTGTCCATCCACGCAGAACTACACTAACCAACAGTTTTATTAAAATCATATCACTCAGCAATTAATAAAGATGCTTACGTCTGACGGCGTCCGGTTCCGCAACTCCAGGTGAATT